AAGACAGTAAGAGCATTTACAGCTAATAAACTCATGTCAATATTATCCCGCCTGCTTTTTGAGCGATGACAGGCGGGTCTTACACGGCTATGATTGGTTATTGTCCTCAATAGAAAGGGCTTTAGAAATATAAGCGCTGTTCACCCATGGCGGGAAGAATACGCGATTATCACAGGTAATAGACACAGTGGAGAAAACTTAATTGCACATCATGAGACACGCTCATGTCTGGATCCACAGCTTTAACAGCTAAGAAGAGACAAACTGGCCAGCGGGTCAAATGTCCAAAGTGAGAGAGCGAGAGATAGGCAGAGGTGAAGTTTTACAACATTTCTCCCTAATAGTTAACTAGCGGGTATGCTGTGCCGCCTCGCCCTCGCGCCTCCGTCCTTCGCCATAGTATTGCGACATCGCGCATAGGAGATAAATGACGTCATCACGTAATAACCGTTATGACCTAATACTGAACTGATATCAATCATTTTGACACCCCTAGTAACGAGTAACGATGCAGCACATAAAAAATCTATCGGAGTAAAAGTATTAAACTCATGGAAAATATGTACTTAAGTAAAAGTGGAAGTAGGAGAAAAAAATAATACTCCAGTAAAGTACAGATACTGCCTTTTAGTACTTAAGTACAGTAGTGAAGTAGTTCTACTTCGTTACTATACATCTCTGGACTGGACACAGCAAATCAAGGAAATAATCAACGACGAACTGGCACAGAACATCAGACAAAGGACAGGATTATTTTGGATATAAACATTTCATGATTTTCCGTTATTTAATTTGAGTCAAGAAACATCTAAAGACCCAAATTGATTTATATCAGGCGATGTTCAACATGATAAAGCTGGTTTAGATCTTTTGCACATGTGATTTAGACATAATTGAGATCAGCATTGACCAGCTAAAAACAGCTGTGGTAAAACACTAAACAACCACAAGTTACTTTTATTATTATCGCTTTTAATTACCCGGGCCCATTCAGACCCCAGTCTCTCTGCTTCAGGACCCCAGCTGTGTTTGTGTGTGTGTTTATTCATGAAGGCTTATATGTTGCCACAATTCACCAACATGAGTGAGAATATGATGTGCTCGTGGCCAAATTTCATTTCATTTTCTTCACTCAGCATAGAGGGGAGACTCATAGACACCTTTATCTTTATAGTTCAGGTGCAGGCCTGATAGAGATATGACTGGCGTTGTTTATTATTCAGATTTTTCCCCTCACATTTTGAGTGGCGGCTGACCTTGTCGTGCCGCCACAGGGAAGCGTCTCGTTGTAATGGAGTATTTGATATCTGCCCCTCCGAGAGCCAATACGTATATATTTATATGCAAGGAAATGAAAGAACAGCCAACGAGTCAGCAGCAAATAAGCACTTTTTACTGGTGATTGAAATGTTACTGGCCACAGTTGGGGAATATAGGTTACCTGCAAGACACTGAGCTGGAAGCGGAAGAAAAATCATCAGGCTGCTGAAGGAGTGAGAGGGCAGTAAATAAAAACTAGGAGGAGACGGAACAGACTAATAGAGCGGGTGCCCTTGCCCAAGCACCAATCACCAGGGAGTTTTTATGGTTATTCACAAATAATAAAAAAAACGCTGTTCTGTACCTGACATTAACAATTCTCCTACTTTTCTCCATACGAAAGAGAGCAGTTTGCAAGTCTCTTTTGGAGGAATAGTTCACCCAAAAATGAAACTTGTCATCAACAAGCCCGTATGACTTCCTTCAGAAATTATTGTTTGTTCACCCCCAGGTTATCCAAGAAGTATGACTTTGTTTCAGGAGCAAATTTGGGATGAAATCATTCAATAATTTTTTCCATCTAAAGCAAGCGATCAAACAACTAAAAATCCATTGAACAATGTTAGATTAGATTAAGCATTATTCATTCATTCATTTTGCTTTGGCTTTGTCCTATATTTATCAAGGGTCGCCACAGCAGAATAAACTGCCAACTTATCCAGTATATGTTTTACGCCAGCCCCAAGCCAGTACTGGGAAAAGATAAATTGTTAGTTGATCCAAATTGATCTACTGTACATTGTTGATCAGCTGAGCAGCATTTTGTTTTATCTGAGGCTCTGGAAATAAACCTACATTTTTACGAAATGTAAAATATGTAGATTTGGGAATGCTAAATTACCAGTGAAATCTGGTGAGAAATCAGATGACAACCACTAGGGGGCGTTGTTTACATTTTAGCCCAGCTGAAATACGTTACTTAAGCTAGATTTTGGTATTTGTTTGTGATACAAGGCTTTCTTGTACACGTCCATATAAAGGTGGGGCTTGTTGTATAGACCACCTAGTGAACCACTGACCTAAAACCTTCCCTAAACCCAACCAATAGTGTTTTCAAAAGCAAACATTAGAGTAAAGTGCACTGCAATCACATGGAGTAGTTTTACCATGATTTCACATTGCTTTTTCTCTTTTGGGAAAATGTGCTTTACTAAAACTCAAACCCAAGTGCTGTGCATCACAAGCCAAGCAAATTTGATAAAAAGTCAGGGACATAATATGAAAATTATTTGGTGTTGTGCAAAAACTGCACATAAATAATTCTTTACTCATCTATGCTATGTCTCAAATATCATTAGTGTGAAAAAGAACAAAAGTCATACTACCCTGTAGCGTTCATTTTACCTTGAAACTGTAGTAAAGTTTATGTTTAAATACACTTTTATGCTTTCATAAAAACATAGACTGAAAAACGTCATTTCCAATGAGCCTTTGTTGTAATTATTAAGGTTTAAGAATACAACAATGTATTTAAGAGGAACATGCAAAGGACTACAAACTTTTCTCATACTGTAAAACAAATATGAACATGAAGCAATAACCTTTTGACTTTTACACACGACTAAAAAAAAAAAAGGTGACATCAGCTGACTTATTTGATACTTGGATCATGTGAATCACTTTGAAGCTGCCTAAATATGAACAGTCAAAAAAGTTGAGTGCCGACGGCGCAGTAGCCTAGTGGTTAGCGGGTAGAAATATGGTGCAATAGCACGTCAGGGCATCCTGAGTTTGAATCCTGGCTCGAGGACATTTCCCTACCCTACCGAGCCTCTCTCTCTCTCTCGCACTTTGCTTCCTGTCTAAATACTGTCCTATTTAATACAGGCAAAAAGGCCAAAAATAAATCTTTAACAAAATGTTGAGTGCCGTTCACTTGCATTTATTGGAAAAAAATAGGGAAATATTTTCCCAAATTTTGGTGAGGAAATTATTAGGATTTGTTTATTTTTATTTAGGGTGAACAATTTAAGTTTATTTTCTGTATTTATTTATTATATTATCACATCATCAATTCTGGCTTTACCTTGCACATTCACAAGAGAATTAGTGTTGATCAAAGCCACAAAAACCACAAAGCCTAACAAATCCATTCACAAATCAATCTCCATATCTCAATGACTACTGTCAACAATGACAACAATGACACTCAAAAAAAATAAAAAATAAATAACGTTTGCTGCTTGTTTAACCTACTTATTGAAAAAATAAGCTTTTTTTAGACAACTTTAAGTTTTATGTTAACTTAATTTCTTCATGTTGTCCTAACTTAAATCGATCATGTAGAAGCCAGCATTTTTTTTACTGTGTACCTTATAAACACTTACTGTACCGTATAAATGACACAAAACTGCACAATCCTTTTGTATGCTTCTACAATACTTTTATGGTGCTTGTGTGCTCTTTTTGAATGGCAAAACCTCCCATCTCCATTCACTAAAATTGCACATAAAAGAGAAAAGCATTATTCAGAATTGTTCGCATAAGAAAGCGTTCGAAAATGACATGAGTTTGTGCAAATGATAGGCTATATCTGTTTTTGAATGAACAGATTCTCTCCTGGTTTCCCTTAAGCTCTGCCCTAAAGGCCGCTCTGTCTATACTGGTATCAGGAGTCCAGCGCTGAATTGTTGTTTATACGTAACACAGCACCGTATCTATTACTCTCGCCTCTGCCGAGCCTCTGAAAGCATGGAAACATGTTGCAACTGATAAAGCAATGCCTTTATCACACATGCTGATAAAGGCGAATACCAGCAGCCATGAGAATGTGATTTATCTGCCTGCATTGGTCTGTCAAGACGAAGCGCTTTTGGGCGGCCGCTGGGCAAAAACGTGCTGCATCTGCTTTTAATAAGTCGGTCCCCGAGGTTGACTGAGCGCAGATCCCGAGCGGAGGTGAGGTCACTTTATTAATGTGCAATAAACAGGTTGGTGGAAGAGAGACGAGAGATTTATGCATAAAGACCTCTCTCCATTAACACTAAATCAGGTGCTGTTATTACCCCAGCACTAATTGAATGTGATAGCAGTTGCTCTAATGCAATCCCCCTGGTGTAATTGTCACCGGCCGGGCTCCCTCCCTCCCTTCATCCCGGTTGGATCCACGATTTATTTTACTGATTAATTGGGCTCTCGATAATCATAGGGAGACATCTGAGAAACAAGAGGATATCAATTTAACATGTTAACTGTAATTCATTATTTTTTAAAAACACTTAAAAACCTGAATAAAGTCCCTCATTCCCATATAATCTGTAATAATAAGGAATTAAAATTATGGGAAAAATGAAATGTTTTGTAGTTATCTTTTTATGTGTTAAATATTTAATTGAGTTACACATGGCCGTTAATTAACGAAATGCTATGAAAGGTTAATAATTCTGAATTTAACTGTACATAATTGTTTATAATTAAATATAAATAATATTTAGTGTCAATATTTTGTTAAGAATGACGTATGTGAGATAAGTGGATGGTGCTGTGAGATCCTCCATTATGCCTGCATGCACCAGAGTCGTGTTTCTCCCATCTGTACACCGGAAGAAAGCTTCAGCCCAGACTTTGTAGTGAGATTTCAGCAAAGCAGACAGGAGGCCGGGCAGCTGAGGCTGATCCCAGTGAGCGATGGTGTGAATCTGTAGCCTGAATCTCTCCACTGACGTCACTCTTCTCTTCAGCAGATGAGTCCTGCACCAACTGCTCGTTTGGCGCGATCTGTGATGCCCAGACTGGCCGGTGCGTGTGCCCTAAAGGCTGTTTGGAAACACGGCAGCCCGTATGCGGCAGCGACGGCACCACGTATGACAACGAGTGCAAGCTCAACGTCCAAGCCTGCACTAAACAGCTGGATCTCAAGGTGGTGGCCCATGGAGAATGCAGTGAGTACACAGAAACAAGCAGTCAATTCATTCATCAGCTTCAGACATGTTCACTCATCAGTTTGCAGTAAAGAAAGCATTTTCTGTCGTTTTCTTGTCTTGATTTTCATCAGTGAGATACATTTACTAAATGCAATTTTTTTTTTCCCTGAGAATGTAACTTAAAGTGCCCCTATTAGGATTTCTTTAAAATTACCTGGAGTTGAGAGGAACTTACTGAATTTTTTACTTTACTATTATACCTAAGTATTTGTTGTAAATATCTGTTTTTATTTTAGGAAACATTTACTTTTTCTTCACTTCATCCCAAAATAAATTATAGCACGTTTTACTTCACTGCATTTGATAAAGCCAGCGGAGTAAAAGGTTATATTGAACTGGAGAGAGCATCACCTGCTAAGAGATTTGATAGCGGTGTCTGTTTCATGAATGAACCGAATCTTGTCAGTTGACAAACTGCACTGAACAGTTCAATGTGACTTGGACCAATCTCAATGCATCTGTTCTTGAGTCAGCAACTCATTCAAACAGTAGTGGGTCTGCAGTTAATGATTCACTGATTCAAATGAGATTCAGAGAGATGGCCGCTTTGGAGCAAAAACAATCACTATTGCCTCATTAAAGTGTTGATCCAAACTGTGGTGCTCAAAAATGACCACTTTGAATGATTCCTCAGAATTAAGAATTTCAACTGATGCACACTTCGTGTCCCCATGATTCTTCGTGCAGGGACGTTGCTTGGTATTAAACAGCACAGTCCACTTGGAAGGACTCATCTCTATACCCTAAAAACCTTGAAGCTGTCACTCTAGAGGTAAACGATTTGAAGGGATTAGGGCATATGGATGAGTCCTGCCAATTGGAAAATGCTGAGTATCTTCAGTTAATGACTCGCTGATTCAAGTGATTCAATCTAAACAGAGTCTGCAGTTAATGACTCACTAATTCAAATGATCTGTTTCAAGGTAGTCAGCAATTAACGACTCACTGATTCAGATGATCACTTCAGAGTGAGTTGGCAGTTATTGACTCACTGATTCAAATGATCTATTCAGAGTGAGTCTGCAGTTAATACCCACTGATTCAAATGATCTGTTCAGAGTGAGTCTGCAGTTATTGACTCAGTGATTCAAACGATCTGTTCAGAGTGAGTCTGCAGTTAATGACTCACTGATTCAAATGATCTGTTCAGAGTGAGTCTGCAGTTATTGACTCACTGATTCAAATGATCTGTTCAGAGTGAGTCTGCAGTTAATGACTCACTGATTCAAATGATCTATTCAGAGTGAGTCTGCAGTTAATACCCACTGATTCAAATGATCTGTTCAGAGTGAGTCTGCAGTTATTGACTCACTGATTCAAATGATCTGTTCAGAGTGAGTCTGCAGTTAATACCCACTGATTCAAATGATCTATTCAGAGTGAGTCTGCAGTTATTGACTCACTGATTCAAACGATCTGTTCAGAGTGAGTCTGCAGTTAATGACTCACTGATTCAAATGCTCTGTGTAGAGTAAGTTGGCAGTCAATTACTCATTGATTCAGGTGATCTTTTTAAAGTGAGCCTGTAGTTAATGACACATAGATTCACATGATTTGTTCAGAGTGAATCGGCTAAGAGTGAATCCACTAATTCAAATTATTTGTACAGAGTAAGTCTGCAGTTAATGACTCACCGATTTAGATGGTATGGTCAGAACTAGCCTACAGTTAGTGACTACATATTATATGTATAGTATGTGTATATTCTATATTATAGGAAAATGAAAGTGTTTTCTGACTTTGAATGGATGTAAATGTATTATAGGAAACCTTCAAAAATAAAAATAAAAACTTTACAAATTCACTATAGGGACACTTTAAATGAAAGGAAATTATGTTTAAGCATACAGAACATTTGGATTACCCATAGTTTTTTTTTTATTTAAAAAAAAAACCTATCTAAAGAAAAAAGCCCTATCTTTTCTAGTTTTACCTCTCAAGTAACTTGTGTTCTAAATTGCTTCATTTGGTTTACTGGGAATCAAGACAAACTACTGAACAGAAACATGCTTTTGCAGTGCCGTTTTCTTGTCAAAACACAAGAAACACTTTTAGCACTCTCTCCAAATCATGTTATGCATGGTACATGATTTCACATGGTTTTTACATAGCAGAATCCCATGTGAATGCATTCCGAGTTTGTAGAGGAGGTTTATTTCGGATGTGAGCATGCGTGTCTTCGTGTCTCAACTCTCCTATCCTGTGATTTGCATGTGTTGTTTGTGTGATCAGAAACCTGTGGCAGCACTGTGTGTAGCTGGGGGTCGCAGTGCGTGAACAACAAGTGTGAGTGTCAGCAGTGCACAGGTCAGCCGGTGAAACCCGTGTGTGGCAGCGACGGCAACACATACAACAACGACTGCGAGCTGAGACAGGCCTCCTGTCAGAAACAGATTAAGATAGAGGTGGCCAAGCCTGGCGTCTGCGATGAAGGTGGGTGTTTGCATGTTTGTGTGTTTGATCAGGTAACTGAACTGCCTGTTATTTGCTGGTTTTCAGATTGTACTCAGGGCTAGCCGAGTTAATGCATTCACTTCAAACAGTTTAGTGCGGCCAATTTAACCTCCTTGCATCAACTGCACTTAGTGACCCTTCATAGTATGTGAAGCATGAAATGCAGGCATCAGTATGCACTCTCTGTTTTCATTCTTGGTTCCTTTTCTTTCTGTTAGTGTTTGAGACAGTGCTTTGTAAGTGTATTAGTATCTTTTTTTTATTACTTACTGTATTTTAACTACACTACCTGACAAAATTCTTGTTGCCTATCCAAGTTTTAGGAACTACAAATAATAATTTAACTTTAAGTTGATCATTTGGCATCAGAAGTGGCTTATATGAAAGGCAAAAGCTTTTAGATTATGCTTATTTTACCAAAATAAAATATAATCATGTCTTGATTTTTAATTATTTAGTTAGGACAGTAAGTCTTGTCACTTAATAGAAATAATGTACAGTATAGTATATAAAGTCACAGTGCAGTGGAAAAAGAATTAATATTGTGTTTGACCCCCATGAGATTGAACGACTGCTTTTGTACATCTCTGCAATGGCTCAAATAATTTATTAAGTCATGTGGATAAGTCATCTGGAATGGCAAAGACAGCATTCTTGCAGGGCTCCCATCAAGATTCTTTGGATTCATCTTCAATGCCTCCTCCTTTATCTTACCCTAGACATGCTCAATTATGTTCATGTCTAGTGACCACAGATAGAATTGACGACAAGACTTTTGTCAGGAAGTGTAGATGTGTATACATGGTTTTTCCAACGATGGGGTCAGTTAGAAGATATATTTTTCTCTTATTATTTTTTTTTTATGTTTCTTGAGCACCTGTTTAGCATTTTTAAAGGCTGCTGAAACTTAAATTTTGTCATTACTAAGTAATAAATTACATTTGAAGATATATTTAAAAAAATCTCAAATCTATTAAAAATGTATAGGGTCATTTATTTTTACATCACAATTAGAATTTTCATAATTTCACATTAATAAGGTTTAAAGAGTTATTAGAGCAGGATTAATGTAAAAATATACAAATAAATGACCTTTTTTAGTTTATTATTAGTATTAAAATTATTATTATCCTGTCTTAGTAGGCATCCAATTGCATGTAGTAGGCATCCAATTAAAAACTGTCATGTTAAATCTTAATATATCATATGATATATTTTTCTATCAAATTTGAATCTACAGATGTTTGAACAATAGTGACAGTAAATATTACACAAACTATATATGTTAAGTATTAATGTAAAAATATGCTTTTTTAACAGATCAAAAACACTGATTAGATACATAAATGTTAGGGTACATTTGTTTACCTTTTCAATATATGATCTCACTTCTAATTTTATCATGCTACTCCACTGTTTTTCGGATTGAAGATACAGTATATACAAATTCTTTGCATATAATGTCACTTTGCTAATAATATAGTCAAAATCTCGCCAGTTTTATTCAGATGGTATAAAATCCCCCAGCATCCATCTGTATAGTGCTAAAGTAATATCTCACTTAAACCATTCCCTGCAGACTCTTTGCTAGTAAAAAAGAAAAAAAATCTGATGTTTTCTTCCCTGTAAGCCCCATCAGACCTTTCTTTCCAGCTCTGTAAGCTGTGGAGGAGTTGCTGTTAAAGGCTGCAGGGATCTGGGTCCGGTCAATAGATCCTACCCAGAGGCCAGTGACACCCGCTTTGTCAATTCATTCTCCAGACTAGTGAAGCAGCCCAACACCAGCTAAAACCCATCGGCCGGCAGCTCTTTGTACGTCGAAGAATAGAAAACGGGGGTTATTAACGTGATGAAAACAGAGCTGCGTTGTCTGTCTTACATTTAGCTCTCCAACGACATGCTCCATTTGCTATGATTTTGCGGTTATGGGCGCAAAATACAGTGTCAAAGTAAAACATTTTCTTAGAGGCGGCCAAAGGGGCTGTTTATTTGCACAGAGATGCTTTATTCATTTGTTTAGACCTGGCTCCAATACGCATGTTCATTAGTCATTGGAAAAAAATGGCAGTGTTCTCTCACTCTTTTATTTGGAGGTAATGAAAAATGACAGTGTTCCCTGCGTCTGGCCGTAGCGGTGAATTTATCACCTGTTTAATTTCACACTCTGCTAGTCTGAAGTCAGCCTCATTGTAGATACAGACAAAGCGATATGTGGGAGCCGAGCATCACCTTGGGGCTGTGGCCCGCTTTTAATTGAATATACGTTTACTAAATAGGATTATGCAGTGGAAATAGCAACATAATAGTGTATAAAGCATCGGTACACGCTCTGGATCACCCACAGGATGAGAGGACGAACAGGATAGTGTGCAGTCATCCATTTCTCACAAGTATCTTCTCATAAAGAACTTCTGCAGGCTGTCAGGATGCCCTATTGCTCTTTATGTTGGCAGCATTATGATTACTCTGAGGTTCTGGCTTGGTCTTTCAGTAATGCCCATCTGCAGGGAGACAAATCACTGGTAAACAGAAAACTACCTTCTAGGGCTGGGAGTTATGGCTTAAATAATCACCGTTTGTAAGCTTCATCAATTGGTGTAGATAAAGCTGTCCTTTTTTGGGATTTTTATTTAGTGCTTTGTCAAAAAAAGGCATTTTTTCTGGTTGTTGTAGCAAATGGAGTTTATTATTTCAATTTGTTGTTGTTATTACTCTCTAAAAAGTTTTTTTTGTGTGTAATTTTTAGTGGACTCAATAGTATTTAGCATAGTATAGCCTGATACAATAAAAAATAAGTAAGGTGTAAAGTACATCCAGGTGGTTGTTATTGCAGGATAAAGCCTGACAGTCTTAACGGCAGTTGTATAGGACTGAAGGGCTTTAATTAGCAAAAACAACCATCCTGAGTGTACTTTACCCCACTAAATACATGGCTACTTGTGACAAAACATAAAAAGTAGACACTACACATTTTTCTGAGCTATAATAGTTTAGTAATTCTTTAGACAAAAAGCTGACAGAAAAAAAACAGCTAATGGAGCATACACTAACTTAGACATTATTTAGTCACAATGGCAACAAATAGTCAAAACCGCTGAATAGAGTGTAGAATAATCTGCAAATGATTCATTCACGAGACAGCACCAAATTGTCAAGAAACACAGAGGGACAGACAAGCAGATACATATGAATGTGGATGTAAGTACTGTATATGGATTTGGACAAACCAGGCTCAATCTGAAAACTTACCCCTTTATACATTTCTGGAGAGCAGCAAATACATCCCAGGAGCAATTTTTTTTTTTTATTTATTTATTTTTTTGCAGTTTTTGTTTTCGCAAATCTACCAGAGACCACTGTGCATGCTTTTTGAGATCTCAAATTTATCTCGCTATTGCCATTTGCTTCTGCTGTTCTCTTGTAAATCCACCAAAGGTCGCAGTCAACGAACTGACTGACTGACCGATCGGCTGACCCACCCTTCTCCTTCCCTAAACCCAACCAATAGTGTTTTCAAAAGCACATATTGACCCGCCCACCCACTTCCCTATACCCAACTGTCAGTTTAAAAAAAGCAATTCAGAAAAAGAAAAGCGCTTTTTACCACGTTTTTAGATTTGACCACATTCTCACCCTGCTATTGTTTATTTTATTTTTTGGCTTCTGTTATTGTCTCACCCGCTTTCTGGAACCGTTCTTTGCTGGGCTCGAACCTCGTCATTGTGGTCAACTCCTCTCTGTGTCTCAAGTCCATCGACATACATTGCGAGAAAAGCTGGTAACAGTGGGAAAGCCATCTATATGGAAGTAAGCGATCAGCTGGTGAGCGCTAAAAGGAACGTCATCATACCGCCCAGTAACGTTCATTTTATAGATGAAATGCAGTCATACTTACTTCTGGATACATATTTCGGGATCTCCAAAAATGTATATAGGGCTATGTTTTCAGCATGAGCCTATGTTAGATTTGGATGTATTAAGTTGCAGTCAAGGTGACTAGCACTTGTTATATTAGGATAACATTTTATTCTTGGGATTTTTGCGACTGAACAATCAGAATTGAATATTCCAGACAGCCATATGACAAGTTGGCCAAGGAAGAAATGGTCATGCCCAGCTGAACCTAGTTTCTTTTGAGGTTTTTTCCTTCACTTTCAACAATTGTTAAAAAATTGTTCCGTGCCACTGTCATCACTGGCTTTCTTGGTTTGAGACTTGTGGAGCTGCACATCGATGGATATGCTCTTCAGTTTTGGACTTTCAGCAATAAAATTAAACCACACTGAACTGAACGTCAACTCTGAAAACCAACCCAGGCACATTCTGGAAACGTAGCCCCACGGACGTTTCTGAAGACCAAGAAATACATCCTGGGAGGTACATATTTGTGCAGTTTTTGTTTTCGCAAATCTGCGAGAGGCTGCTGTGCACACTTTTTCGCTTCTCGGACTCAAACTCCGGGCCTCCACTCCACCGACGTAACACGACGAGCTAACCGGACAAACTGGTTGCGGCGGGAGAGCCCTCCACATGGAGGTGAGCTGTCAGCCAGCGAACGCGATGAGGAGGGGCGTCACACCGCACTGTAGCATTCGCTTGAAAAAATGAAATGCAGCCATACATACCTCCGGCCACATAGATCACGGTCTCCAGAAACGTGTTCAGAAACGGGCTCTGTTTTCAGAATGAGCTTGGGTTGCTGAAAACTGGACTGACGCAATTTCAGTTTACTAGAACCTCTATATTAAGCTGCTTTGACACAGTCTACATTGTAAAAGCGTTTAAGAAATAAAGAGGAATTGAATATATATAAATAAACATAAATAAATAGGTTGAACAAACAGCAAAAGTCTTATTTTTGTGTCTGTAGTCTATTTGATTTGTTTTCAGGGACACAAATTTTCCAAAAAATGATATTGTTCAATTTAGGTTTACTTCTATAGTGCTTTTTACAATAATTAAATAATATAAATTACAAT